TGACTTCCTGTTCCCACACCGTGTCTCCTGCACTATGTACTTCCTGTTCCCACACCGTGTCTCCTGCACTGTTGACTTCCTGTTCCCACACCGTCACCTGCACTGTTGACTTCCTGTTCCCACACCGTGTCACATGCAGGACCGCTCTAAATTCCAGTAATTCTAGTGCATAGTTCGATCAGATGGTTCTGAAGGTTCTGAAGGTTCTGACGGTTCTGACGGTTGCTTTGATCTGGTTCTTCTTCAGAACATCATCAAGAAGGTGAGCGGTCAGAAGTTTGTGTATAAGTTTGTGAGTCAGCCCGACCCCTCCCTGCCTGATGGGGTCCGCAGCCTCGAGGATGGCCAAAGGAAAGACATCTCTGACCCAAGCAACCAGTTAAAAGGTCTGGGGGCCGTGGCTTCTACCTGTCAATCAAAAGGCGTACCCCAGGTACCTCTGACCGTCTGTGTTTAGCTGTTTAAGCTGAGAGTGATGTCTCTAACGGGCCGGTTTGTTTGGATCCACAGAGATCGTCACCCAGCAGCTCCCAGAAAAGCTCCAGAAACGACTACATGAAGTCCGGCCTCTACTCCACCTTCACCATCCAATCTCTGCAGACCCCACCCAACAGCCGGCCAATCAAATCAGAGCTCCTGCTTCAGCCAGACCCCGCCCCCAAGGCTGACTGCCTGCCCAGAGAGGTGAGTCTGTGAAGTCGGGCGACAACCAGCAAGACTAAACTCGGGGCGAATTAGCCCACGAGCCCACCACAGTCCGTTTGATGTATTCATGCCTCACCTCCTCCTCAGGTCTGCGCTCTCCCAGAGAGTAAACCCTCCCCGTCACTGGGAGGTGCTGCCGACTCCTCTCTGCAGGTTCTTGTCTCGCAGACGTCTCCCTGCCCAACTCCGGCGCTCAGCCCGCAGATTCCAAGCAGCCAATCACAGGTCAGACACAGGCTCCGCCCCCTGCTCAGTCATGTTTATTCACCTGCAGAGAATCTTCTTTGTACTGTTTGAACCTCTTATACATAGTTCCCACGCACGTGACCAGTATTGCGCAATACCGTGTTTCTGCCATACGTGTAGGCTCGTGCTGGACCGCGTTCGATCAAGATGTCTTGCAGAGCTCAGTGTATTGATTCTCTTGACCAAGAGAAAGACACGTGCTTTAAACAGCTGCGGCCAGAGTTGACCTGTACCAGGTGGAGACAGAAATCATGCCGGACCACGCTGACATCACTGAGAAGTTACTCTGATATGGTTAATTGTTTAGTGAACACAGGAGTGCTACAACGGAGGAGCGTCGCAGCTTTAAGTCCATGGATGCTTATAATCAGCGATGGATTTATGAAGGAGTCCGAACTCTTCATGTGGACAAAGTTCTGGTGCCTGGCAGAGTAAGTTACAGTAAAATACTCGTAGAGTCCCTCATCGCCTGCAGATACAAACTACATCAGCTAAGACGACGTAGCTTGTGCTACAGTAAAGATCACGGACTATTTCTCACATTACACATTATTTATTTTGCTGTGACTGACTTTCATACTCGGTGTTAACAAAATCAATCACGTGTAATTATTGCTCATAGTATTTAACGTGCTACAGTAAGTGTCACTGATTTTATTTATTTTCCACTATGACTGCCTTTGTTAATAAAGTTAGTGGTGAAAAATTACAATTTGGTAACTCCTTTTAATCCATTGGTTAAATGTTTTAAAACCCTGAAACAAGAACATTTTAATAGTTTCCTCCTGTGTTGTGTTTCTGTGTGAGGTTCTCCCAGAAGATGAAACTCCACTTGGTCCAGAAGTTGTGCAGTCGTGCACCACAGCAGCAAATGAGTGAAAACATCAGTTCTGTAAATGAACCTGCTTTTCAACATGTGGTTGTGCAACATGCATCCCTAAATGTGCGTGTGCTTATCTTTAGTTTGAATAAAACGGTTGCACCAAGTTTCACCTTCTTTATTTCAATAATGAAGATCCTCTGTTTAATCTCCAGTACTGAGAAACAGTTTCATTGTGATGTCGCCTCTACTGGACTTTATTCTACTGCACATCTATAAAACCTGGCTGTAGTGATTGTTCTTTAACATCTTACCAGTTTAGTGTTTTATTGACATGTACAACACATACAAGCATGCATGTTGCTGCATGTTCCTCCTCCAGGAGGAGACTGACACAGTTCTAAGTCGAAGCCTATAATTAGAAATTCAACACAGCTGAAAGTGATACAAGATGAGAACTGTGGGAGATTTAATGTCTTTTAATGAAATGACTCCATGCTGCTGATCATAGAGGACTACAGAATAAATACCAGATCAACAACTCTTCAACAGTTTCTGACTTTAAAGTTATTCTCAAAGCTTTTTTCATTTAACTTCAAATTATGTAACTGATTTTTAAAATCGATATCTGCTGATGATCTGTGCAGTTCAGAAACAGGAGCATGTTCTGTAGAGCGGCTCGAGTGCCACCTAGCAGCTGACGGTGGTAGTGTTCAATATTTTCAGTCAGAACGAATGAAACGTCTCAGCCAAACATTGATTATAAAAAGACAAAAATCCATAAATACGTCTCTTCAGCGTTGAAGTCGCAGGGCATGAAATTATGCAAAACTCCGCCACTTATAGGCCGAAAAATAGGCTAAGTGAAAACCGTGCTTTGCCGAAACGTCTCCCGGTTGTAGCATGCTCTAACGCAGCACGAAACGAGCGTTGGTTTACTTAAAGATCCACAGCTGTATCTGCAGCTGGAGGCAGCCTGACAGGATGGAGGATACATCCTGATGTTGCGTCACATGGGAACTGTGTTCTGCTGCCTCTGACCAATCAGAGGTCAAAGGTCAGAGCTCTTTCTGAATGACCTCGTCGTGTCCTCTGTCCACTTTCAGAACCCCCCCGGAGCCCCTCTGAGCGACCCGCCCCAGATTTACCTCACCACCGTTGGAGACCCATCGTCCCTCAACCCTCTCCTTCCCCTCAGGCCCGTCGGAGCAGCAGGAAGTCCCGCCCCCCCTTCCCATGTTTCTCTGTGTCCCCCCCAGTTGTCGCCACAGGACAGCGCTCCCATCTTTCCTCCTCACCCCCAGGCTGCTCCTCACCCCCCTCCTGTGTTTGTCATAATCAACCCGTCTCCTCCCCAACAGCAGCAGGCCCCGCCTTCCACTAAGGCTCCGCCCACCCCACGTCCTCCCCCACCCCACATCGTCATCAAGGAGGAGAACCTCCCGTCAGAGGAGGAGCTGCTGGAGATGGTAACACTGGAGAGGAAGCAGGCGGAGCAGGTGAGGGGAGGAGACGCAGCCAATCAAAATCAAGCATTCTTCTTCACTTTCATTCATCTCTTCTTCTGCTCCTCCT